CATGAGCACATACGCCTTTGCGATGCACTCTAATCGCACCTATTCAAAAAGCTCGGAATATGTTCTCACGCACGCGTAGTTATTGCCACAAACTACAATTATGTGAAAGTTTGATACGCAACAACCATGAAAGAAAAGTATTACTTCAACAAACACATTGTTGCTGGACTCCTATTTCTATACTACACATCTCTATTCTCACTCGTTTGCCTTCATCAAAGTATAGGAGAAACTTGCTAATTATTTACGTAATACGACTCGAAAGAGCCGAAAGCAACGTTATCTAATAGTGATGCTTATTGTCTGCGCCACATGATTGAAGTACAGTGAAGGAATTTGCGCAGGTCAAGGTTGAGGAAGGCGAAATACACTGCGAATGAAATTAACAATTGCCGCCCCCACGACAAGAGCTTGCTAATTCTCGGATGGATCAACAAGGCATACGACAAATTTACGCCAAGCGTCCACGTTATGCAAATTATTATAGGAGAGTTACGTATAGGCGCCGCCTACGCGCTCGTTTAAAATTTTGAAATACTGTACAACGGAACCTGAAAATACTTGAAGCAGACAGCGGCTTTGGTACTTAGTGTGACACTGAAGAACAGATTAAAAGCACACGCACTATATGACAAAGAAATTCAGTTAGACTTAGGGATTTACAAAGAAAGAGCCCGTGCCCAAACTGCCACGTTTCAAAGGTCTGAGGACGAACGAATGCAAAACTGAATTTTCTTTTCTTTGCCTTTCCCTTCCGTCATTTCATTGGACACAATGCAAGCATTAAAACCATCGTACAGCAAATACGTTATTTCGCATACAAGCAATCGTCGGCTTACTATATTCATACCGCTTTAACAACGAAATACGATAGCTTGAAAACGGGTTAGGGTCAAAATCCCGAATAGGCCGAAAATGCTAAGCATGGCCTTGTATAGGTTGTGCATTGGCATCTTCTAGTTTTGGGTTAGTCGAAATGACTCCTCCAGCATTTGCGGCTCACCTATGAACACAGCTGGTTTTTTTCAGCAGTGCAATCTTTTCACTAACCATAAGAAGGCAAAGAGATCAACACGGTTAACGAAACTAGAGGAAAACTATACGTCAATGCACAACTGAAGCAAGGCCACACATTACAGTGCACTTTCAACCTATTCGGGATTTCGACCCATCAGGATTTCGACTTTCGGGATTTTGACCGCCACCGCTTGAAAACGTAGCCTTTCGGTACGGGACAATAGTACTTCACGTAGAATTTAGATTTTTTAATGGTATGGTAACGTCCCGTTAGAGTAACAAAGAATTCGGGTTAGGGTTAGGCCATAACCCGGTCTTCACCGGACAGGATTACTTTTGCCTAATCGCTGAAGACGTGTTGTGGCCTAACCTGAAAGCTCCGGTGGAAAAGCTCTTTGCTACTCGAACGGGACCTTACTGTACCTATAAAAAATCTGAAATACAATACCTCAAGTTTATACTGAATTACATACAGAACGACACTTAGCGCTATTCCAGTTTCAATTAACTGCTTCTGGAATAGTTATTGGTAAAACAAGACGAGCAGCGCTGCTACAACCACTAAGCTTATCCATTACTAACAAGTTAGTAATGAAATTACATGTGGCCATAACAAGCTGCCTATGAACTAAGCGACATTTCTATTGGACAGTTCCTCACGAGTAATAATGAAAAGCAGACTTACCAAATACAGTCGATGGAGCTACAATTCACAGAGTTCGACGCATAACTTCTTCGAAGTAGCCGATATGGATGACGAGGCATTTACATGAACACAGCATACCACTTAGCTTTTCTGAGCCAAGTTTTGCCATTCATTTATCTACAAGTCGTCAAGATGCAAACAGTAAGCATTTGTCACTTGGGAAAGGTAGTAAACAAGTTAAACAGCGCACCGTTTTAAAAAATGAAACACCAAAGCATATTGTTTGTAAAAAAACGAACTTACAGTCTTAACGAAGTATACTTCATCTACGAAAGTAAGAATGAAAACTAAAGCCGCCAACAACACAGCCTATGTGAAACGGATGATTCCTTGAATATGTTTAAGTGACCATTGTGACGTGCAGCAAAAGAGACTGCAAAAAAGTAGTAATGATAATAATATTTAGAATAGCGATATGAGGGGCCAACCTCAACGTCTCCAACAGAAGCGCACAAAATATGCAAATTAGCTGGACAACCCATTATCAAATCCACAAGTAGAATAGCTGACGTCATTACAAGTGGCAGAACTTTACTCAGTGAAACCAACGATATCGTTACGCAAACATGCGAAGCTACAATGCTGGTTTACCCTTCTTTTCAAGATAACAAAACAAACTTTTGACGTAGGATGTTTTCATGTATACGCTTAAGATGACAAATTCCTGCTTTACGTTTTTCGTGCTCGCCCCTCTTTCACGATAACCGAATCTGCGTTTACAAAACTACTATCAACATCCGTTGAACAAAAAACTGCAATTCCTTCCAACCATGATGAAGACGGAAGACGCTGCTCGTCAATGACAAATCAGGGAAGGACAACATGATGAGCAAAGCAAAGAAAGCCATGTTACAACTGAATAACAGCCCCTAAGCTATCAGCTACAAAAGCTCTGCGCTTAAAGCATCAAACTTGCTTGGTCAGAAGATAGGTCGCAAAGAAGCAAAGTGCAGTTGACTCAAACACGTTGAGACCTCTGAGAAACAAATTCAAAATACTCTAAAGATGTAGTTCTCAATGGATGTCCTCTAAACCACTAAGCAATATGGGTCCTCTTGCAAGATTTGTGAACTACAAACTAATGATGGAGTACTATCATTGTTCACGGCTTCCTAACGATCACAAAATGCTCATCAGAAGCTCTAATCACGAGTAAACATAAATGAACACGTAAGAACTTAAGAAATAGAAACCATTTTAGGCTAATGTACTGCAAGGACCCTCTTTCGTACCATTTGAACTCGAAAGTTAAAAATGAAGAGCGACTGCAGGCAGGAAACACCTAACCGTTAAGGAAAAGAAGCACTGGTTACAATTGTGTAAGCATGGACAAAGCTTGAAAAGCAAGCAGAGCATGAATTCAACGTATTGCCAAAGAAAATAGACAAAGCATTTTTGAAAGCTGAATTAAAACAGTCACAGCATTCTGAAAATATCGTACGAACCTGCGCATCATTTATGGTCGAAAAATGAATTAAACATGCACGCGCTCAACCTATCAGCGTTATCCCATTTCAACTAATTCTAAGCACGTAGTACGAATTTATAAAGCATTTTTTAAAAAAACTTACGAAAAGGCTATACCTACCGACAAAAACGTTGATGTCAGCGTATGGATACTGCAGTCAATGACACGACATTCAATGAATGCAACTGACGACTACTTTCATTCATAATACCAATTTGACTAGTAGAAGTGGCTGCGCCTGACAGAGCAAACCATTAATGTCGTCAAGATATGTTTAGCAGGAAGAAATTTACTAATCAAATCAAGGCTATTTATACGAAGCATCGTCAACGCATACGAAGAAGCTTCCTTTGGTTCTTCAAACGCTTCTTCTCGAGCTTGTCGGAATCTTCGCCGGGAGCGAAAAACCACGGCATCAGCACGGTTACCCAAACCTTGTAAGCCGTATACAATGGAGCCACGATGTATAATGCCCACAATTTGCGATATATAATAGCCAAGATTTGAATGATCGTTGAAAAGATTATAACATCCTTGCAATATTCACCAACGCCGCCTTCCATATTCAAGTCAATACCGCCGTACAACAAATCACCAGACTCTGAATAGGAAGTTTTCGCCATATTGCGCAAACAATACAATGCTGCGAATTGCGCAATTGTCGAAACGGCAAAAAGGATCCAGGATATTGAAAAGCAAGGAATATCGCCGGACCAAAAGTACCGGAAGCACAAGTGAACAGCAAAACCGAACACTGTCATGATGAAATAGAATTTCAACGTGCTTGCATTCTCCTCGACGATCTGCTTTTGTCCTTTTGTCAACTGTTTGCCTTTAGCCATAGTTGCATTAAAAATTAGATCGTGCTCTTGGAACGCAGGTTCAGGAACAGTAGCTCAGTCGCCAAATAATGCCTAAACATTTGTAGCTTAAGAAAAGTGGCAAATCTGGCGTAGACCATCAGTTAAGCGGTCGTTATACGAATGTTACGCTACACGATGTAGGATCGGGGAAACGGCTTATATTTCAAACAGACAAAATATCGACGCATGCTGCAATTCAAAAATCAATTAAAACCGTCTAGTGTTCGTTCTTCCAAAGAATTGTTGCAAGAAATCGATTAGACATTAACGTCAATCGCAAACGTGCGCGAGTGACATGGAAACTACAGCGAAAGCGGGAAGAAAGAAAGCCTTGCCCATGGAGAAGAAACTTATGCGCTTTTAAACTTATTTAAGCGTGCATGCCAGCAACCAACAACAAGAACTCAAATAAGGAAACAATCAACAAGATCCGTGGCGGTCAAAATCCTACAATTAAAAATGATGCGCAGGTACTATCATTGGACAACCGCACATTGATCGTTATCTGTTACAAAGATATGCAGCGAAACGCTGCTCTCAAATCCTTGCATGCATATCTTGCGCTACTCCAGTCATTCTATACAATTAAGAGGGGGCAAATCCGTTTTCAATCGTCACGCGAAGTCTACTCCTTAAACAGACCATACTAAGTGCTGAGCTCCCTACCAACTGTGCTAACGCCAATGACCGACTACAGTGAATGCCGAAAGTTCCAAAAAAAGAAGGACACCAATTCGAATGTAAAGAATGAGTTCAATCCGAAAAACGGGTTTACATTATTGTAGGCTTTAACGTAAACTACACTTAGCTAACATCCCCAAGGAAAACACTGCTAAAGCTGTTAACTCATCGATCAGTATACTGCGACACCAGTCGCTAACGAGGTGAACCTCACTTGTACTAGTTGCTCCGCTCCTATGCATACCGTGAAGAAAAAGTGTTATTTAGCTTTGCGCAGAGGCGATACCGTAACCAGTGAGGTTCTACCGAGGTGCGGTTATTGCTGGTTGAAAACTTTAGCCAATTCCCCGCCATGTGAGCCTGAAAAATGGTTCTCATCGGCAATTTTTGGGAGCCCGCCAGGGCTAAGAATTTCTCAACAATTGCTTGCATGTATTGTTTGTGTATAAGGTGTATATTGCTTTCCAAACAACGGGAAAGCGACCTTAAGCGCTTCGTGGTCTACAAGTGTTCTACCAGCCGTACAGGATACCCGTTTTCCCATCATTTCACGTCCCTGAGACAATTTTTCAATTATTAAACACGTTATCAGCCGCATACTTCCCTATGACAGCAAAAGTTACATCAACAATGGTTTGCTTAGAATAGTAATCGTATTTAACATGAAGAACTCAACTTATGCTCAAATGTGGTTCCTTGGGATTCATCCAGATTAGGACGAGTAGGTAACGGAGCAAAAATGTGTTGTGTGCGTTGTTTTATAGCTCTGCCACAACCAAACTCTTAAGAGACCTTTACTTCGCTTACGCATCACATCCCGCTAATCTGTGAACGTTTTCACAACTAAAAGACGAGCATGGTGAAACGCCTTCAAAAAAAAAAGAGCAGTGGATAGTATCAAGTTCGCCATTTGTCCAGAATAAACTAGTTTGAGCTACATGGTGAAAACTACAGTAAGTTCCTGCACACTCTTTTACAGTACTACCTGCATACACTTTACTGAAAAGCAAATATAACAACTTTGGTGGACTTGTGCTCATCTAATTGTATGTAATAATAACTGCACTACAAATAACACAGCGAAAGATTAAGATAAATTCTAAATAAGTACGCTAGCCGCGTGATGAATACTCAAAGCTCGTCTGCAACAGGTAAATTCACGACATTCTGTTGAAGTTCCTCAAGTTCACCGCATTCTTCACACAAACCTTCCCGTATACCGAAATCGATGCAGCTTTGCCCAACGCATTCGCAACAACCCGTGTGAAACCATCGGTAAGAAGAGGCACCCAAACTGGCACAGGCACTGCGGCATTTCTCCACGGAAAGGCACTGCTTCAGAAAGGCAACCGTACAATTCAGCTTGGTCAAACTTTGCAATTCTTCCTGACGATGCTCGACGCCAAATTTGTAGAAAAAGCCAGGCTCCAAAGATGGATACGTTTTTACTGTCCATTTCGCGTCGGGCGACAATGGCTCCGTTGTAACCAGTTCGAACAGGTTGATTTGATCTTCGGCGGGACTTAGCGATTCAACGTAGCTGCGCATGGCCATACGAGGATCGACGGGCACCTCGGCTCGGCACAATCCCACGCAGGAACAACAATCGGAAAAAAGCTCACCCAAACAATGGAAACAATCTTTGCAGCAGGAACAATTCTTGCCAGCCAAGTCTGCCGGTGTCATGGAACAATTGCAGCTTTTTATCAGCATACATTTGGATACGCGAGGACCGCAAACCGCCTCGCTGCAAGGCGTTGCGGTTGGAAAGAAAAACCCGAATAGGCAAATAAACCCAATGCAAATGAACGCCAAAAACGTATTCATAATACTAGAAGCGCACTTTAGCCAAAGACAACGACATTTCGCTTATCGGTGCCTCAAGAATTTAAAAACAACTTTTCCAACTACAGTATGCTGCAAAAAAAACTTTCTATTCATCTGCTTGCTTTCGTTTCAGCAAGATTTTTTAGCAGCTGCATAAAGCTAACAACTTGCCAATGCTGCTATACGCTTCTGAGACTTTAATTGCAGTTATTGCAGTTCAATTTGTCCCAAGTGCTTTTTTACACACTAACCTGCGCATTTGTAGGCATACTGTATACCAGTTTCGTTGGGCCTATCGTTACGCAAAAGTCATGACATCCCGCGGCTAAGGGTCAACTAATTTTCTTCGGATTTCATCCTCTTCGAAACAATGCTCGTTACGTACCCAAACGACGTTAAAATTTACAATCTAAGCGCTGGGAAAACGCTTCCCGACGTACGTTGACAAATCAACATTTCAGTTTCTGACGTTTCTATTTTTGACATTCTTAGTGGCTATCCGAACGAAAAAGACGGCGCTTGCTGAAGAAAAATGTAGGTAGGCTCCAAGTCGACAACGTCGTCATACATCTCTCAGCCTTAATTCTACTTGCAGACTTAAGGCGGCGGATCGAACTGATCCAAGATTTTGCCATGCCCGATGCCAGTCATGCTGTTGTAGCATCTGCCGATCGAAACTACATATACGCAGCTGGTAAGCACGCCTATTCTTTAGCAAAGCCTCACGCAAGCTTTTAAAGGGACCTATAAGCCGCGCATACGTTGCTACGATGTCCGAGACTTGTCTATGAAATTTGAACGCTGTATAGACTCCGACGTGATCAAAATGAAAATCCTGAGCGAAGGTTACGAGAAGGTAGTAATGTTGGAAGAAAACCGTTGGTTGGAGTTCCACGTGCAAGACGGTCACTATTTTAAAACGCGTATTCCAAAGTTCGGACGGGATATCGCCTATGTTGAATCCAAATGTGAATTATACGCCGTGGGCGCCAGGTAGACAATGTATTATTGTCTTTTCAACAATTATTTTTATTTTCCATTTCTAGTCCTGAGATCTACCGTTTGAATCTTGAGCTGGGACAATTTATGCCTTCCTTAGTAACGTCTGGATCGTACCTTCTCTCCTGCGATGTCAGCGCAGAACATTCCTTATTTGTCTGTGGAACCGACGAGGTGACATTGCTGCTCATCCATTTTTCATTATACAGTTTATTACTACTACTCAGGGTAACGTAGAAGCATGGGATCCTCGCACAAAAGGACGAATTGCCGTATTGGACAGCATATCATCGCTTGGCAGTCAACTGTAAAGTTTGTATTCTATTTTCAAGTCTTTCTCTAATACAGTAACCCATTAAGCGGCGCCAAATTTGGTGTTTCATGTTTGAAATTCAAAGATGCTCTCCACTTAGCCGTAGGCACCGAAGGTGGTCACGTTTTACTCTACGATATCCGCTCTACTCGTCCTTACGTAACCAAAGATAACATGTACGGTTTGCCTATAAAGGCGGTAGGCTTCATTCGCGACCCGGAAGTCGTATTGTCAATGGATACAAAGATTTTAAAAATATGGCACGAGGCTACCGCCAAGCCATACACGTCGATCGAACCTAACGTACGATTGAACGACCTTTGCTTGGTGCCCGATTCGGGACTTCTATTTATGGCAAATGACAAGCAGAAAATTCTAACTTACTACATACCCAATCTGGGACCCGCACCTCGATGGTGCGCCTTTTTGGACAACATTACGGAAGAGCTTGAAGAGACAACGCAAGCTGAAGGTAACTATTACGTAATAATCCGTTGTACTTGCAATGTTGTATACCTTTTTTACAGTTTTCGATGATTACAAGTTCGTTACAGTTCGAGACTTGGATCTGTTAGGTTTGTCGAATCTAATTGGCACAAGTCTGCTGCGCGCTTATATGCATGGATACTTCATTGACGCAAGGCTGTACAACAGGGTAGACTTGACCGTCTTTCTCTCAGCATGTTCATTCCAGATTTGTAGGCGAAGGAAGCCGTAAACCCGTTTGCCTATGACGAATATCGTAAGCAAAAAGTACGAGAAAAGTTGGACGAAGAGCGTAAGAATCGCGTCAAATTAAATGTATGCAAGTTCTCTCGTCAATTTCGATTGTCTTGGCTTAACTGTCTGTCTGCTGCAGAAATTGCCAGTGGTGAACAAAGAGCTCGCCGAACGCCTAATCGTCGAACAAGGCGACACCGGCAGGAGGAAAAAGAAACCGTCGAAGAAATCGCAATTGGAGAACGGTGCTGAAGGCAACCTTTTGACGGACAGCCGTTTCAAGGCGCTCTTCGAAAAGAGCGACTTCCAAATTGATCCAAGCAGCGAAGAGTACAAATTGCTCAATCCGGCGGTGGTGAGGCTGCAAAACGCCAAGCGCGAGAAAATGCGAAGACTAAAGGAAAAAGCTGAAGAGCAGCGTCAAGTATGCTTCGTACCTGACTATACTTTATTTTTAAATTGTCTTTTTGCTCCAAGGATCGCCTCGAGCGGGACAGCGGCTACATTCGGGACGACGATGCAAAGCATTCGGACAATTCAAGCGTTGAGGATGATAGTGGTACCTCCTCCGAAGAGGATGCTCAATTTGTCCAGGTAAATCAATTCAGACACGCTAAACACATATTATGCTTTCCGTTGTCAGTCAATCAAGAAGACTTATCGCGAGATGCGAAGAACCGGCAAAGGAGCAAACAAACAGGGAAGTGACGAAGAGAGCGGAGAAGACGATGATCGATTTGGTGTTGTCGAATTTCTCGATTCAAGAGAATCCTTCGATTGGAGTAGAGATCTACCGACTAAGCAAAAGCAGAATAATCGCAGGTCTCATTTCTCTGCCACTTTCATTGTCCCTTGCAGTTTTCCACTTTAGCTTGCCTATGGAAGAACGAATGGTGCTCGAGTCCGCTACTAACGATAGCTGCGTAGTTGGAGCTCAGGGTAGAGAAATGGTGGTTCAACTGGGCAAAGTAAGCCTCTGCGAAAATTGTCTATGTTCTCTGGGCCCATGGGAGCCCCTTTTTCAGGAAAAGGCTGAAGAACGCGATAGACAGAGGGCCGCTCATCTGCAAGAACGAATACAGGCAAGAAGGTCAATAACATCCTTAAAAGGCCCAAAAAAGCAAACTATGAAGGGTCTCCGTTAAGTCAAAGCGAATCCATAAAAGGAGATGTTAGACCTGCGATATATTCATAAATTTCAATGTACTATTTGGTATCTACAACTTGGCATTGCTGCTAGCTTCAAGTGAAGCCTCTGTAAACGATACTCTTATTGTATTACGCTCATTGCTTGTTTTAAAGAATTGCAAGGCTTAGCGACGCAGCCGTCGCGTTCTGCCCTTACCTAAGCTTATGCTTAGTTAAAGGCGGTATTTAATGGCCGGCAGACGCGCGCTCAGAGGTACTCGAACATGAGCATCACAAAAGACCAACGGTAGAATGGCGGGAATGCATGACTAATGACTCCAAATTTGAACATTCGAATAGTTGGTCTTCCTCCCTAAAGTTCCCGAACGATACCTTCTTATGCTTTAAAGCAAAGAC